TTATTCTACTCAGTACTACTCATTCATATATTGTTTAGAAGTGCGCAGTTGCTTCACATATTCGCGTGAAAAAAGAAAAAAGCAAGCTATTCATATTTGATTGTTTCATTGCGAGAAACAAGATGCTGGGCTCCGACAAATATCTGAAAGATCTATTCGTGTTCTCAAGAAGTACTTTTGATGGAAATGCTTATAAAACATCTCCAAAACAACATATAGTTCAAGATTTTCGACTTGTTTGGTTAAACACAGACGCCAGTAAGTCAAAGGATGATTTTGGTGATTGCATAGCTGATCTCATGAATAATGTATTTACTACTGAGACATTCACTGATGTTGATCAATGCGTCGACTTTCTCACCGATCTAATAGATGATAGGGTTTTAATGATTGTATCTGGCCCTCTCAGCTATCTTATAGTACCTTTAATTCATGATATTATATCAGTCAATACCATTCTCATCTTTTCCAATAACAATTTACTTGATCAACAATGGACGAAGAAATGGACGAAGGTGTGGGGTGGTTTTGCAAATATTAACTCTTTCCATGATTCAATGAAACAAGCTCTCCGTAAATGTGAACATAATACAATTCCGATTAGTTTTGTTTCGATCGATGACGTTTGCAATAAAAATTTGGATGAACTTGATCAATCATTTATGTACACCCAAATACTGAAAGAAATATTATTTGAAATCGAATACAAAAAGGAATCAATAAAAGATTTTACTACTTTTTGTAGCAATCTTTATTCCGACAACAACTCTATTTTGATCAACATTCTTAAATTTGAAAAAGATTATCATCTTAAATCACCCATATGGTGGTACACCTATCAAAATTTTCTTTATTCAATCCTTAACCGAGCGTTGCGCACTCAAGAAGTAGATAAAATAATTAAGATGGGTTTTTTTATTCGTGATCTGCATCAACAAATTGAAAAGATACATTCAACGCAGTTTGGCGACAAACATCAGTCGTTTACTGTCTACCGAGGTCAGAGTTTATCAAAAGGAGACTTTGACAAGTTGATGAAATCAAAAGGTGGATTAATATCGTTCAACAACTTTTTGTCTACCAGTGAAGATAGAGACGTTGCATTTGCCTTTGCCGAGAGTTGTAGTGGCGACCTAAATTCAGTTGGAATTCTGTTCGAAGTAACGATTGATTCCTCTATCTCAAGCGTTCCTTTCGCTCGTATCAATGAATTTACTAATTATGAGTCAGAAAAGGAAGTGCTTTTCTCCATGCATAGCGTTTTCCGAATTACAGAAGTCAATATGACGGACGAAATCAATAATCTTTGGATAGTAAAACTTCAAGTCACAAATAACAACGATCCGTTACTCGACAGCTTAACCAAACGGCTTCGACAAGAGATTCAAGGCACTACTGGATGGCATCGACTGGGACAGTTACTCATGTATCTTGGTCAGTTTGATCAGGCCGAACAATTATACCAAACAATACTCGATCAATATACATTTGACGAAGAAGATAGAACCTGGATCTTCAATCAACTTGGAGAAATCCGAAAAGAACATGGCGACTATATCATGGCAGTTAAATATTACGATCAAGCATATGAACTACTGAAAAAAATTCTGCCAAAATACCATCCAAAATTGATAAATTGCATGAATAATTTTGGTATGATACTTACGGAAATGGGAGACTACTCGCGAGCACTTCAAATTTTCGAAATAGTATTAGATTTTCAGAAAAATATTCTTCCTTCAGATCATCTACATATTGCTCAATCATACGCCAATATTGGTGATGTTCACAGTTTAATCAACAATTATACGAAGGCAATTTCAGCTTACACAAAAGCATTAGAAATTGCGACCCTTATTCTTCCTTCGATTCATCCGGCTTTAGCTTCTTTACATAATCGTATAGGATGTGTTTATAATGATATGGGCGAGTATACAAAAGCACTATCGTCGTACAAAAAAACGTTTGAAATTCGACAAAAATCTCTTCCTGTAGATCATCCAGATTTGGCTGCTTCTTACACTAGTATTGGTTCCATATATCACAATATGGGCGAATACTCCACGGCGCTGTCGTGTGCTGAAAAATCACTTGAAATATGTCAAAAATCTTTTTCTTCCGATTGCCCTGATTTATCTACTTGCTACGGTAATATCGGCACTGTGTACAACAGTATGGGCGCGTCCTCAAAAGCACTTGAATTTTATGAAAAAGCACTTGAAATTAAACAAAATATCCTCCCTCGAGACCATCCGAATATAGCTGATGCCTATAATGAAATTGGTAGCATGTATACTACAATGGGCAACGATTCCAAAGCTCTTTCCGCTTTCGAAAAATCACTAGAAATCTACCAAAAAACTCTTCCACCAAATCATCTCAATCTAGCTACTGTGTATAATAACTTGGGTGATTTATATAAAAGTACAGGTGAATATCCAAAAGCACTTTCGTATTGTACTAAAGCACTGATGATTTGTCAAGAGACTCTCTCTTCACATCATCCTATTTTGCTTATTGCTTACCACAATCTCGGCAAATTACATCAAGTTATGGGCGAATATTCCAAAGCACTTACTTTTTATCAAAAAGCACTAGAAATTGAGGAAGAAACGCTCACTCCAATGCATCCTGACTTGGCTTCTCTTTATAGCAGTCTCGGTGAAGTGTACTTAGAAACAAAGGACTACCCAAAAGCACTTCTCTTTTTTGAAAAAGCGTGTACAATCTGGCAAAAAACTCTTCCTTCAAATCATCTTCATCTGGCCCATTCGTATTATTGTATCGGTAAAGTGTATCAAGCCATGGGAGATCCTATAAAAGCACTGCCATTTCTCAAACATTTTGTTGAAATGTTTCGAAATTAACTGAACGACTGGCATCCTCGAAAAGATACATTCGTGAAAGGGTGGGTGTGGGTGTGAACGTGGGTGTGTGAGTGTGGGTATTCATTAACTGAGGATCTATAACGACTTCCACACACCCACACCCTTTATAAACTAGAACTGTTAGAGATTATATTATATCAAAGTAGCTTATTTTATTCAGCTTTTAATTCTTTATCTTCCCACATGTACTGTGAAAATTTTCAACAATCTATTGAAACCTAACTGGTACGTCTTTTGTAGAATAGTTTTTCAGTTTTTTTTCCAGAAAATGTGTGATAGTACTAAAAGTTGGTATTGACTAACTTTTCATAGGAGGGATATTAGAACCTAAAATTTTAGGATTAGTGGTTTTAGACATTGAAATTTTGAATGCGCAAACAAAAATTGAAAAATAAAATTTTATCGAGTGCCTCATATATTGGAGCGATGATTGACCAGCTCGTCAAAGCTCTCGTAAATAATTATAGAAAACTTAAATAGCTGTATGCTTATTGAAAAAGTATCTCTTTTGAGAAGCTACGCTCATTCATTTTATTTCTGATTCAGTTATGATATAACAATAAAATTTACAAAAAAACAGCCAAGCACAATCTCTTAGAGGCGTTTAGAACAATCACTAATATAAGATCTTTCATTATCAGAGTATTGAGAATCAATCACATTTGATTTATCAAATAATTCAATACTCATGACAAGAAATTACTCCACTTCCAGTATAAGTATTGCAGCTAGTCTGCTCCTTGTTTACTATTTTAAACAAAAGGCATCAAAACCAATGCATGATGAAAAACTTTCAAAACAAAATAGTACGCTTCTTGATATTCGATACGATCTTTAATACTAATTCATCCGTTATGAAACGTAATAACTGAGAGAAGAAAAAGACTTCTATCATCAAAAACCAATGTCCACTCGTATAAAATATTTATTTTGACTAACTATGCGGGCTTACAATTTCTGACTATCATCATCAACACTATCAGGTGCTTTATAACACATACTATGATTAATCATGTACACATATTCTACATGTTGAAAAAGCTCATACTTATCATCGTAGTCGATCTCTTTTCTCATGTTTTCCATTATTTTTATCAGGAAACATTCGAGTACATTGAGAGCAATAACAAATATCATTTTTTTTTCATGTAAGTATGACTCGCAATAATTCATCCTCCTTATCCTTCTTCTTTTTTTTGCACATACCTGAAAAGATTGAGTTCGTCTATTGTTCACTGAACAACGTTCAATGATTTTTTTTTTAATCTTAGAATAAGTTTCTCTCTAGTTAAACATATTTAAATCCAACAAATTACATTCTAGAGTGAACATATTTAATACATTCTTTCATCCAATTAGTTGACCTATCTATTTCTTTTTATAAAAACATCCTTTGTTAAAATAATTGAACATCAATGATGGTTGGCCGTAAAAATGTCCAAAAGGAAAAATGGTTGATAAATATTTTGAAGAGTTGTGAATAGTGAAGAACATCTTTTATAATATGAGTTAATGTTAATATTATAACAGTGACCAAATACAGACAATGAAAAAATTGATTTATCATTTTGTTCTGCTTAGTACTTATAGGTTGTTGTTCTATTCAGTTTGAAAATATAGTCAACTGCTACGAGTAAAGATTTTCCTTTATCTGAACTTACAAATAAAATAGCTGGAGATACTTATTGGGTTATGTCAGTTTAAAATGTAGCAGTTTCAGCCGTGACAATAGAGTTTTAGTTAATATAATGATCCTTCGTTGAGCTGTCTATTTAATTTTTATCAAGTATTAATCATCAAAATCACGGCTGGTTAAACTGCTATACTATTAAAATTATAAGAAAAACAACAATGAACTAGACGTGATTAGAGTCACAATTTATTGAAGTCATCATCTTTTTCGATATTTTTCTGTTACGATATTCTTCTTCCATATTTACTTTTCTACATTTCTCCTCTTCTATATTTTTTCTTTCGTCATTTTTCCAGCACACCTCAATGATTGATCCTTCTTAACACAATGTTCGTCACTTATAACTTTTCACATATATATATATATATATATATATGTATACGTCTGTTTTAATGTCAGTCAGACACATTATATCAACGATGAACTGTTTGATAAGTATGATTATCAAAATATTTAATTAGTATCATTTATTTATTTTCATTGTTTTTGTACAGATGACAATGTTCAACTGCTTGATTTGCCTGATGAGTTAATTTTAATGATTATGAATACAGTCAAACCTAACGTGTTATTGCTTTGTTCTATTATTGCTATTGGTAATAATCGTTTGGAACAACTTGCACTTGATAAATGTCATTCAATCGATTTTACTATTGATTATTCTCAATCATCGTATGAATCACTCATGACACGGTTTTATTCACATATTATGTACCGTATTATCAATAATATTCAATCATTGACACTCAATATTCGACAAATTCCCGATATTGTCACTTATGTTGAAAAAACTCTAATGGAATTCTTCCAAATTTGACACATCTGAAGATAATGATTGGTAGACAATCTCATCGAATAGGCACTCCTTATACATTAGATGCATTAAGTAAACTATTAAGTATTTTTTAGTTGTATTTTAATACTACTGTAGTTCATGTTCTGCATTGAAAATAAGGCATATTCTATGACTCGAGAATTTAAAAAACGTTTCCGCATTTTATGGAAAAACATCGACACTACGCGTATATATGGAATATCGACAGTTTATAGTAATGAATGAGAAACTCACTCTATATTGTTTTACCTGTACTAAGACATGCTAAAGTTTCTCAGAAAAATGATAGTCGAGAGAGATATGGGAAAGTATTCTTTTCCACTTAATATTATGAGAAGCCAAAGACTAAATTAAAAAATAATATATTGTATCAATCGAATACATATATGTATGTATATATTTTTAGACATGGAGATTTACCGTGTGTTTCACAATAAATCTCTCTCTTGTGTTATACCTCAATTTGTTCGACTTGAAGGGTCCGTTGGTAATCGAATCATATCTACTGTTCGTTGTTCAACATTTATGTGTTCAATTGTATCGTTGGAACTTGATAATGACTATATTTTACCAGTTGTAATGAATCCGAATGGATTGTTTTTCCCTCAATCAATACAATTGTCTCATATCCAAATAACATTAAATAAATTCGGTGATTGTGTCCATTTACTAACTCAGTTGGGTTCGCAACTCTGTTCATTTGCTGTTAGCATTGTAGATGTTTATGTACAGAATGCTGATATTATCTCTCAAATATCATCGGTAAGCAATATTTCTTAATTTCAAATTCTTTTAAAATTTTCTTATCTAGATTTCATGCCCCAATTTGAAACAATTGACAGTAACAATCTATCATAATATTGTTAACTATAGTGAATGTATTGTTTCTCTTGTACAACGGCTCTCAAATGTCGAACATTTAACATTATTAGCTATTGATATAACAACAACTAGACTCACTCATTTTGTTACTGAATTTGATTTAGAGAACGACATTGTTTCATACATGCCTCATCTATGTCGATTTAATTTCCACATTCGTTCAATATTAGAAAACGCTTCTCCTGTAGAGATTGGCACAATTCGTCGAAGTGTTATGAAATGTGAACAAGATGTTATTTGTACAGTCGACTATTTCAATAATAACTATGGTCAATGTCAATTGTATTCAATTCCATTTATTGGCAATCGTCTTGATTTCATTTCAAATCGATTTCCACTCTTCGATATGAATAACATGTTCTCAATGGTTACCCTGTTATTACTTTTTGATGATGTGAAACCGTTCGAAAATATTTTTTTTGCACGTATCGCTCATGCTCTACCCAATCTAAAGACACTCGAAGTGTTCAATAAACTTGAACAACAGGAGAAAGAAACGATCACAACAAATAATCTTGAATTTGGTCATTTATCTGCACTAATTCTACTCGACATTCATATGGATTATGCTGAACAGTTTCTTTGTCGAAGTCGTCTTCCTTGTCTAACCGAGCTGGCTATTCGTAAGCAAGTACTGTTAACAATTGTTGCTCACGACTCACAACAAGCAAGAGACAATTGTTCTAAAGTAGAGAATTTACTAAGTTCCAACAAATGGTCTGATTCAATTGATGCTATTCGAAACTTTTCCCACTTGTTTCCCATTGAAAACAGGGTAGAAAAAAATTAAAATAAAATAAATGATTTAATTTAAAAAAAAATTGTCACTTCAACCTTGATGAAAATCAATCAGTTCATTTAATAAGTACAGATAAGAGATACTTTAAGAATTTCATTATATGATTATTTATGGCTCAATATTGTTTATTAGTCTAAATGCAAAATTCGTTTACTTGCTATTAAATATTCATTCAATGAATTTCGTCGAATTTTGTTGATGAAAAAGTTTTTATTGAAAGTAAAGAACCAATCATACCTAAATAAATAATTATTAATTAAATAAAACAATTTTATCAATATAAAATAGTTTCCTACCAACAATAACAAGTATAATACTTGTATAAAACCGAAATAATTGACAAACATGTTTAAATTGCGTAGCAAACTTGTCTGAGTCGGGATTATTATTTAATAGACTGTTTGGCTTTATTGTTTTTTTTTATAGTTCACATAATTATATTTCTTTTATGCTATGTTTAAATAAGTTTGCACATTCTAAAATAGAATACATTTATATTTACGAAAAAAAAAATTTTTTTTCATAACTGTCAGTAATCTAATAACACATTGATATTCTCTAAGTGTGTTTTCTCAGCACATAAAAAGAAAATTGTAAAACGGCAGATGTAGTCATTCTCTTTCAAACGACTCTTGAAATTAGAAGAAATATTTATATCGGCACGGTTATTTTGTATATCGCAACTGTGAGATTTAAAATAAATTCTTATTTTCAATCTCAATCATACAGAGAATACAAATATCGATGACAACAACACGACACAAAATGAATAAGAATATTTAAAAAAAAACACCGAACATAAATTGGATAACTTTAAACTTACAGTCGACAAATTAGTTTGGAATATATTTCTATTATTAATTTCTTTTGACATTTAAGCAAATCATTAATTTATAATGCATAGAAATTCATTGATTTTGACAATTTCAATTTCAAACCAAATCCAATGGGATTATATCACTGATTGTATAGTTTTCTATAAAAATAAAACTACAATAATAAATGTATGTTTTTTTTTCAATATTCATCTCGGAATTAGGATTGCTAAGCAGAAGAAAAAGAACAATGTTGAAGAAGTATTTATGAAAATTAGATTAACGTTCTTTTATCAAACAATATTTATATCTAAATCCAACCAGACTTTCATAATTCATAAAGAAAAATCTAATGAATTTATCAAAAAAATATATACTTTCCTACGGAATACAAGAAAAATGTAATTTTAATCTTTGAATAATATTTCCTTAATCATTCATTAATGCTTCAATTAAGAACTAGAAGAAATGAATTGTTTAACTTTCAGTTTCATAAACTATATAGGATTGATTACTATTATGAATCGAAAGTTTGACTGAGAAGAAAATGGAAAGTATATCATTATCATCTTTCCTCTATGACTTCATCTTGGTCATTTTAACCAATAGCATAATAAGAAACCAAAAGAAATTAGCAATGATAAACAGCAGAATACTATATTCTTATGTAATACTTCGCCATTAGCTTTTGCTTAAATACATTTCTATTTTCATAAGACATACGAATCATTCAATAAGAAATATTAATTGATAAACTAAAAACACAAAGAATTTTCTCTTCACAAAAGAAAATTCTCATTGTTTCTTTATTTGTTTTAGCAAAATGAGTTTGAATAGTTTTTAATTATAGAAGATAGGATGTGGGTGTGAGTGGGTGGGGGTGTGAGGGTGGGGATGGGGGTGGGGGTGTGGATGTGGGGGTGTGGGTGTATGGGTGTGGGTGTGGGTGTGGGTGTGAATATAGAGAACATCAATACTCACACCCACATCCTCACCCACCCACACCCACATCCCACACCCACCCCACACCTACCCACATCCACACCCCACACCCATACCCTCACCCACTCACATCCACACC